ATCGCCACCGGCCCGCCCGGCGACTTGCCGTCCCCCGCGATCAACCGGCCCCACGCCTCGCCGGTGAACCACTTCTTCGACCCGTCGCGCCCGGCGTCCTTGCGCCGCAGGTCGAGGTGGTGGCCAAACTCCGCCAGCTTCTCCTGGACCTGCTGCCGCGCGTCGTCGCTGCAGTTGTTGAGCAGCCCCCACTTCCAAGGTGTCTTGGGAAGGTTGAGCTTCGCGACGTGCAGATGACAAAGGTGCTTGCGGCGGCGCGCCACGCGGAAGAGCGAGACGGCCGAGGGGCCGCACTTGACCATGCGGTGCTCCTTGGCGCGGTCGAGCTGCCACTTCGCGTACTTTGCACGGCCGGCCTTGGACGTGTCCGCCTGAAGGGCCTCGCGCAGCTTGACCTCGGCGACGCGCTCGGCGGCGGCAGTCATCGGGTTGGTTGCCCATCTGGCGCCAGTAGCCCGCCGCCAAGGCTCTCCCCTTCTCCGCGTGCGCCTTGATGTCGGAGAGGATCATGCGCCGCCAGGTCGCCTCCGTCGCCGGGTCCAGCGCCAACTCGCGCCGGTTCGCGTCCTTCGGCGGATGGAGGTCCCCGTGCTCCGTCGACAGCGCGAACTGCATGTCCACCGTCAGCGTCGGCCGGCTGTGCCGCGTCTTCGGCTTCTCCCATGTCAGAGTCAGCGCCGTCACCGTCGCCGCCTGCTGCGCCGCGGGAGAGGAGGGCTTGGTGATCAGCTTCGTCAACCCGCACACCGAAGGCACCAGCGTGAAGAAGGGGCGCGCGAGCTCCGCCGCGTCCGTCATTGTGTCTGCATTGAACTGGAGCGAGAGCGGCTGGTCGATCGCCTTGAGAGGAGGCGGCAAGTCCTTCAGCACCTCCCGCGGGCAGTCGCGGAAAGTGAAGCTCGCCGTCTGCCACAGGAACTGGCCGCCCAGGGTCCGCAGGCTCGTCGCCATCCGCAGCCCGATCTCCTGCCGGAACGAGTCCTGGTGCTTGAGGAAGAAGCCC